ATACCCTGTCTCCAAAACAGTTACATAGAACTTCAACCTATGGATTTTGGGAGGACACAATTCAACCCCAAGAACTCCCTCTTACTCTGCATCTCTCTATCTTTATCACTATCTCTATGTGCTTACTGTATGTGTATATATACATATTATATATGTGTGTATATATATGTTCAGTATTTGATATATTTCTATTAAATCTTAAAGGCATTGCAATACATGAGATTTAAATAATCATTGAGCCATCACTGGATAACAAACATTTCTAGAAAATAGTATATTTGTTTGATCTTACTAATGACCTCATAAATTAACTATTCTGTACCAGAAATAATAGAACTATATCTTATCCTTCCATATCTTACACCTGCTTCCAGATTCTCAGAAGGGCTATTCTACTCTGCTCCTTGTTTCTCTTCTGTGATAGAGGAATAGACCATCTTTTAAAATGCCTTTTAGATAAACTAATGGAATAATTATGTATCAACTAGAGGCCTGGTGCATGACATTCATGCACTTGGGAGGCGGGGGGCCCTCAGCCTGGCCTGCTACCTGTGACAATGAACCAACTGTAGTTTTATGTGCTACTATTAGCCCCGTGCATGAATCCATGCACCAGTAACTCTCTGTGGGGCCTGGCCGCTCTGCCCAGAGGCTCTCTGCAGTCCAGAAGTCCATCATGGCAGGACATGGAATGTTTGCATCATCACCATGGCAACAAAGCAAGCATTCTGCCAGCTGTTCATGCTGCCTGCTCTCAGTAGCTACCCCTCTGGGACTGGGGGACTCCTTCAGGGTTGAGAGGAAGGGGCACTGCCATCTTGTGGCTATGGACACTGCCATTTCTGTGACAGAGTGATGGTTAATTTGAATATTACCATTTTACTAGCTAGGACTAGTGGCCTGGTGCACGAAATTCTGGGGGATGTCCCTCAGTCCGGCCTGTACCCTCTCCAATCTGGGACCCCTCAGGGGATGTCTGACTGCTGGTTTAGGCCTGATCCCTGCGAGTGGGGCGACCCGAGTGACCCAAGCCTCCTGTGCTCTCAGGCCGGATCTGTGGCCACTGCCCACAGGCCCCTCCTTCAGCAGCCGACCAGGGCTGGCTGGAAGCTTGGGACATCCCCCTCGCAATCTGGGACTGTTGGCTCCTAACCACTCACCTGCCTGCCTACCTGATTGTCTCTAACCACTCTGCCTGCTGGCCTGCTCACCCCCAACTGCCTTGTCCCCAACTGCCCCCCACCCCCGCTGGCCTTGCCCCCAACTGCCCCCCCTGCTGCCAGCATGTTCGCCCCCAACTGCCCCCCACTGCTGGCCAACTAGTCCCCAACTGCCCCCCTGCCAGACTTCTTGTCCCTACTTGCCCTCCCCACCAGCCTGATCGCCCCCAATGGCCCCCTCCCACCGGCCTGATCACCCACAGGCCCTCCCCTCTTGGCCCCACCACCATGGCTTTCTCCAGAAGAACATCTGGAAGGTCTCATAGAAAATCTCTCAGCCTAATTAGCATATGACCCTTTTATTAGTATAGATGGAGGCCTGGTGCACAGGTGGGGCCAGCTGGTTTACCCTGAAGGGTGTCCCATATCAGGGTGGGGGTTCCCTTTGGGGGCGGGGCGGCCTGTGTGAGGAGCCTGTGGTGGTTTGCAGGCAGGCCATGCCCCCATTGGGGTGGGGGTCCCTACTGGTTATGGCGCTGGCCTGGGCAAGGGGCTGTGGCATTTGCTGGCTAGCTATGGCCCTATGGGGTGGAGAACCCTATTGGGGAGTGTGGCTAGCTTTGGTGAGGGGTTGATGGCTGTTTGCAGGCGGCCACATGCCTCCCCAGTGGGGATCCTCACCCTATAGGGATGTAGCCAGTCTGGATGAGGGGCTGTGGCCACCCCCATCTTTATCCCACTAATTTGCATATTCCCTCCTGATTGGCTGTGGGCATCATGGAGTGATGGTTAATTACCATATTTCTCTCTTATTAGTATAGATTATTAGTATAGATAGTAATGCAAGAGTTGACAGTAGGGGAAACTGGGTGGGAGGAATATGGGAAATTGCTATCTCTTTTCTGTAAATCTAAAACTAAAAAGTTTACTTGAATAGTAAAAAACCTTTTATAATACAAAATAGTGTTCGATATATATAAAAGTCTATTCTACTATATTTAGAATCATCATATACCTGTTTTATGCCACTGCTTATGAATCTTTTTGTATAAAAAGTAGGTAAGATATGGCCTCCAGAGCATAGTGTTGGGTCATAGACATATTTTCACATCCTGCCCAAGTTGAAGATGAACTTACTTTTCCTTTACTTTTGAACTACAAGGCTTTTATTCATTATCCCTCTTTTTAAAAAAGTCAAAGAAAATTTATGCCTCTTCTGCTATCCTGATTGGTTGGAGATCTGCTTTAACTTACTATTTTTGTGCAATTTTGGCTCTACACTGATCTGTCAGGCAGAATGACCCACAGAATGTTCACCCTAGTGTTCAGTGTTCAGAGCACCAAAGGCTGCTGGAAGTTGTATGGAAGCTGGAGTGGGTGCGAGTGAGGCTTGATTACATACATGTTATGTGTTCATGAATTCTCATGGGGGGAGGGGTGTGCTGTAGAGCTGAAGTGCATTTGGAAAAACTAAAAACATTTGTAGATTGCTGAGGATACTCGTGAAATAAAGGGGTCTGTCTTTCACAGCTGAGACTATTTGCTCTAGAGTGGGTTGTGGGAGTGGAGGGAACGAAAGCAAACAAACCCTTGCTCTGCAGAAGATTTCTTGAGGAAATAGAATAGAAACTCAACATTTTACTTTAAAATAATCCCTCCAAAGGTAATCTCTTGAGATTGACATTTTATTTTTAAAAAATATTTTAAAAAAAATATATTTATTGATTTTTCACAGAGAGGAAGGGAGAAGGATAGAGAGCCAGAAACATCGATGAGAGAGAAACATCGACCAGCTGCCTCCTGCACACCCCCTACTGGGGATGTGCCCGCAACCAATGTACATGCCCTTGACGGGAATAGAACCTGGGACCTTTCAGTCCGCAGGCCGACACTCTATCCACTGAGCCAAACCGGTTTTAGCTGACATTTTTAAGAAGATCCTGGGTGTGACCATGGGCAAGCACATCAGGGTCACGTGAACATTCATTTGCAGAACGCTCGCCTTGGACCTATATTGATGGGCTCAGAAATTCTGAAACACCTCATTCTATCATTAGACGGAGGACATATTCTGCCAAAAGTGGAATCTGAAGACTCCATTCATACTAGGCGAGAATTTAGTATAAACATTAAACAAATAGTCATCATTCGGAAGACAGTGTGTTTCATGTAGCAGTGGCCTATAGATTTCTTATTTTTATTCAAAGAATGAATCTGTTTAAAGCTCTTCTGTTGAGTTGGGATTTATGAGCCTTTTAATAGGGTTTTTGAGAGGCAGTGGAGAATTTATAGCTCCTGGTAAATAGCCTGACATGAAAGTGAAGATCGATGGAGCTTTGTTCACCCACACCATCACAGTTGAAGCTGTGGGCAAGAGTCTTTCTCATTCTCATCCAACAATGCTGACACCAGAAATTCTCTTTCCGGGTGTGGTGTTCTCTTAACTAGTGGTGGTAGAACAAAGTTCTGTTGACCATTTAGGTATGTTTTACATATATATTTATTGACTTCAGAGAGGAAGGGAGAGGGATAGAGAAATAGAAACATCAATGATAAGAATCATTGATTTGCCGAAACCGGTTTGGCTCAGTGGTAGAGCGTCGGTCTGCGGACTGAAGGGTCCCAGGTTCGATTCCGGTCAGGGGCATGTACGTTGGTTGCGGGCACATCCCCGGTGGGGGGTGTGCAAGAGGCAGCTGGTCGGTGTTTCTCTCATCGATGTTTCTGGCTCTCTATCTCTCTCCCTTCCTCTCTGTAAAAAATCAATAAAAATATATTAAAAAAAAAAAAAAAGAATCATTGATTGAGTGCCTCCTGCATGCCCCCCATCTCCACCCCTGGGGATGGAGCCTGCAATCCAGGCATGTGCCCTTGACTGGAATCGAACCTGGGAACCTTCAGTCTGCAGTCTGATGCTCCATTCATTGAGTTAAACCAGCTAGGGCTACCATCTAGGTGTTTAATAGCTATTTTACAATGGTTCCATACATGGTCATTGAGATCGTGATTGATCCCCTAACCTGGCCCCGTATCCAGTGTTCTTTCTCTCGGGAAAACAACACTCCATCCCATTTGTGCAAGTTAGAATCCAAGAAGCTGCTCTTGACTCTTGTCTTTTTTCTTCATCCTTGCCCACCAGGTCCTATTGATTTTACTTCTTGAGTAGTTTCTGACACCATCCATTTCTGACTCCATGGCCACCAGTATAACCCAAACCCTTAGATTTATTGCTACAGAAGCCACCTTACGCACAACCAGTGTATCTTTCAGACAAACGTCTGTGAGACCTTCAGTGATTTCGTCTTGGCCTTAGCATAGCAACCAAAGTCCCTTTCATAGACAGTAAGGCCCTGCAAGGTCTGATCCCTGTCTCTGCAGCCTCATCTGGAAACAGTCTCCTCGCTCCCTGTGCTTCAGCCTCCTGGCCTCTAATGCACACATCACACAGGGCCTCAGTGCGTGTAATTCCCTCTTCCTGGGAGTCTCTTCGCTGCGGTCTGTGTCTGATGACCTCCTACTTGTCCTTTATTCATCTGCTCCAGGGTGACTTCCTCACCAATGCCCTTCCTGGTCTCCTGGTGAGAAAAGCGTCCTTTATTTTGTGCTCTAATAGGCCCATGTGCCTTCACTTCATTGTGCTTACCTAAACGTATAATTAGACACTCAGCTTTGTTGTTTTCTGATTGATATACCTCCTCACTACTAATATAAACTCTGGGAGCAGGGGCCATGCCCACGGACGCTCATGATCAAATCCCCACTTGGCACAGTGCGTGGGAGAAGTAGCTGCTCAGTGTGTTTGTTGAATGAATAAGTGACTATTTTATATTGATTGTTTAGGTAGAGGAAGAAGAACCCACTGGATACATTCGATTTGAAAAATTTCTTCCAGTGATGACCAATATACTACTGGAAAGAAGGTAAGAAAGTAAGTGCCATGGTAAAGTAATGGCTATACTTACATTAATTGCAAATTGTGGTTTTTTTTTCACTTCATATATTATCATCACCCAGTATTTTCCCCAGGATTGCTTCCTTCTAAGTTTTCACTATACTTTGCCTGTTGGTATGTATTTAAAAATATCAATCACTTCAGTATTAATCTACCGGTAATAAGCAAAGTATAATTAAAGGGCAAATAAGCTACAAAAAGCACAAGTCAACAACGTTCTTATTTTGAGTTATCAATGATAAATAAGAATTAACCCTAATTATTTTTCTAGAGAAAGAGTAACATTAGCTTACTATAGTTGTTTTTTTGTAAAAATTTTGTTCCCAGATAAACTTATTTCTATGATGATGAAAAAATTCATAGGTAATATTAAACATACCAGTGATTTTGAACTAAGTATTTTCCAAGGATGTGGAATACTTTCAACTTTCATATCTAGAAACCTAAAAAGAATTCAATGAGGGAAGCATTATTTTTCTATTATGTTAGCAGTGTTTATTCTATTTTATGTGATCATTTATTATGTAGAACCTGAACTACTAAGTACTGTGGTATTTGTCTTTTTTTGTATAATCAGATACAGACCAATTCCAGAAGAAGTCCTTCTGCGAGCTTTTGAGGTATGTAAGCTCCAGATTTTATATATATATGTGTGTGTGTGTGTATATACATACATATATATATAATTTTTCATATATACTTATATGAAAAATTCATGTAGAATCTATCCATCAAACAAAAAATATTATTTCTATCTTTCCTCTAGGTATTAGATCCAACTAAGCGTGGATATCTTTCTAAGGAAGAACTGATCAAGTATATGACTGAAGAAGGTAAGAGTTATTTATTACATATCTTGTAACAGTGACTTATTTAAGTGATTAATAATTTAATAATTATGCAAAAATTCTAGGGGATACTTTAAAATTAATCATTCTGGTTAAAAAGTTATTTATTATTTCTATTATTTTGGTATTGGGATGGTTTCTGTTTAGTAGTAGATAAGAGGAAAAGGGTATGTTAAGGGGAGATGGATTTTTTTCCTTTATAGGACTTCTTTAAAGTATAATTATACTTCTATAAATTGAAGGCATTCCATTCACTTAGAGTATTTCCAGAATAAAAGGTATGCCTCCTATAAAACATGAACTATGGAGAATTTTCAGTTTTGTATGCTCATGTAACCATAGATTCTTGCTTTGAACTTGAACTGTATACACACACACACACACACACACACACTCTCTCTCTCTTTTAAAAAAAATATATTTTATTGACTTTTTTACAGAGAGGAAGGGAGAGGGATAGAGTTAGAAATATCCATGAGAGAGGAACATTGATCAGCTGCCTCCTGCACATCCCCTACCGGGAACATGCCCGCAACCAAGGTACATGCCCTTGACCGGAATCGAACCTGGGACCCTTCAGTCTGCAGACACTCTATCCACTGAGCCAAACCAGATGGGAACGGAGTCAAAAGAAACGATCCTGTGGCCAGGGGGTGGGATTATGCTCCCACTGAAACAGGAAAGTCAGGACCAGACCACGCTGGCTACAGAGACAATGAAAACGATCAGTGTCCACAGAACATGAATGGTTTGAGAATGTGCATTCTAAAAACCCCGGATGGCACCCAATGAACATAAATACCACTGAATCATGTTCCTACTGGATAGGAGTTTGTGTGTGTCAGGGATGTGTATTGTCAGACAGTAGTTAGCAAGGAAGATCTCAAAATATTAAAAAAAACACACACATGTTCCAGGCAGTGTTCTAAGGACTATTCAAATAGCTTTTTAATCCTCATGACCCTATGATAGGTGGTATGATCACCTCCGTTTCTGAGACAGGAAAGCTGAGGCACAGAGAGGTCTGTGACGGGCCTGAGACCTTAGCGCTAATGAGCAGCTTAGCTTTGGAACCAGGCAGTCTGGCTCCCGTCCTTCATCAGATGCTGCCCGAGGAGGCCCGGACGGTCTCTGTCATTTCCTGGCGTGAGGCCTCGTTCTGAGGGAGGTGTGGTCATTGAGTGCAGGGCCTGGGGCGGGCCTGCTGGCCCTCGGAGGCCAACCCGCCACTCGCTGGCTGGACAGGCTGCTGCGTTCCTCTGTGCCGCTGTCCTCCACTGTGAGCGGGATGGCACTTGGTCCTCCCAGGGAGCGGGGGAGGCTAACTTAGCGAGTGCGCGTGAACATAAGTGCTCATGAGGTTTATGAGTGTTCTCTTAAGGACTTACTGTGCCCACCAAAGTTTATTGGTAGCATATTTAGTATTTAGCAGTCAGGCACAAGATTAGGAATTTGTCCTTATAAGCATTTCAGGTAGTCTTTCTTTTCTTTTTCTTTTTTGTTAATCCTCATCTGAGGATATTTCATCCATTTGTTTTTAGAGAGAGTGGAAGGGAGGGAGGAAGTAGAAGGAGAGAGAGAAAGAGAGAAATTTTGATGTGAGAGAGACACATCAATTGGATGCTCTCTGGGCTAGGAATCGAACCTGTAACCTAGGTAGATGTCTTTGATTGGGAATCAAACCTTGGTGTGCATAGGCCGATACTCTAACCACTGAGCAGCACTGGCCAGGGCAGGCATTCTTTTTCTTTTATGGATGTAAGCATGATTTCAAAAGAATTCAGCACATTCCCTTGTTTGATAATACCATCATCATTATCATCAAACCCCCCATTTGAATAGTTCCTGGATTATTAAATGAATTCCAATTTAGAAAGCATTGTTTGTGGAGGAGGCAGGTGACTTAAGCTCAGAAGGCGGTCATTCCCGGGACTAGTAACTTACCTGCTTGCATAAGACTCTTTACAGACAGGACTTGTGTGCACACATAGAAGCCTAACCAGTGGTCACAGACAATAGGGGGGTGGGGGCATGCGTGGGGAAGGGGGTTTGGGTGGAAATGGGGGGATGAGGAAAATATGTAATACCTTAATCAATAAAGAAATTAGAAGAAAAAAAAACTCTTTACAGGTAAGGTGGCAATTTGGATATTTCTCTATTTTTAAGATCAGGAAAAAGTTTTTCTTAGTCGATAGCCTTTCTAACATTCTTCATGAGTTGGCTTCTCATCTTGGTAAAATCAGTATCCATGATGGCCCTCAGCCCTCAGCTGCTACCTGAATCGACTAAAGCTCTCAGGTTTTCTCTCCACCTCTGGTTTTGTTTGACAGCCACACGGGACAAAACTGTAAGAAACAGAGAGGAATGCTCAGAATGCCTGCTGGGTGGCATCTGCCATTGGGTACAACTGCCATCACCAGTTGGCCAGACCCGGTTAGGGAATATTCCAAGATGTAATCCTTACAGTTTCAAGTCTCTGTTAGCTGCTCTTCAGGAGTTTTGTGAAGCAATCATTGACTCCTCTCTTCATACTCTTACTAAAAATTAGACTCCCGGGAGTCAGGTTACTCCTGGGCAATTTCAGTAATTTTAATTTAATACATAAACAGCCTTATTCATGCTGGCCTGATGGCCTCTGCCATTTTGACTGGAATGATCGATTCCAGGGTTGCTTGAGCTATGACATCTGCAAGGTAAAGTAAGTCTCCACTCTGCCCGGGGTGCAGCAGCACGCTCTCTGAGCCGGGACTGTCATGGCAGGCGGCTCCCGGCCCCCAGGAGAGCCACACGACGGGGCTCACGGGGTCCCGTGGCAGTGAAGCTGGTAGTGGAGAGAGAAAGGAAAGCACAGAGAGTTGTAAATGATGATTTCCCTTCTTGTTCCTGCCAGGTGAGCCCTTTTCTCAGGAGGAAATGGAAGAAATGCTGTCTGCTGCAATTGGTCCAGAATCGAATTTCATTCATTACAGGGACTACATAACAATGATGGTGATAGATGAAAATTAAACACTCCAAAGGCTCACTTTCTAATTGAACGGACAATTTTTAAAAATTGCTTATCTTTGTTCAATTCATATTATATCTTACAATTCCTTAATATGCTAGTTAATTCCTCATAGACAACTATTTCAAGATATTCTAATTTTAAAAAGATGATCCTAACAATTTAAAAGTTTATTTGGTACGTCTTGCACGTGAAATGACAAATTGCTAATTATTTAAAAACTATTCTTAAAACACTTTAACATTCCCCATGGATGGTTGTTAATTTTCTGGACTAAAATCTAGGTCACCGTCCAGTGAGTTAGCTGACACAATGGAAGATGCTGGAATGACCGTGGGCTTGGCGTGTGAAGGACTGGGGTGGGAGCAGCGTGACCACAGATGGACACCGAGTGGCATCGTGCTGAAAGCGCCTTTTAGACCCACAAGAGGCACTCGGCAGTCTGAATGTGGAAGGAGGTATGAAAATGAACGTTACTAATCAATGCCTAATGAATGCCAATTACGGATCTCGTTTGAGAGGATAATAACTTAGTGTGAAAATGTAAATGCGCTGATCCAGCATGTCGCCCTTTGCGGAAGAGCAAAGGAGTTGAGATAATTGAATCCAGAGAAAAGAAGACTGAATAGAAGTCGGTCATGTTAGGAAGCGGCAATTATCTTCCGTCTTTAGAAGCTCACCTTTCAGACTGTCGTGTGCGGATCGCCCTGATGCTGGTGGGAGCATAAGAGCTCACGCTGTGCAGGAGGGGCTGCTGTGAAAGAGCATAGATATCCAAGCACAAGCATCACAGCGCGGGTTACAGGCAAAGGGAGAATCACTTAATAATCTTCCATAGCCTGTGTATGCTTTTACACACACACACACACACACACACACACACACACACACCCTAAACCCTAACCCTAAACCCTAACCCACTACATGTGTGTAGATACATGTAAACATTCATGTGGCCTGTGATCTGCCTGCTAATACCTGGGACTGTCACTGTGCCTTCATTCAGGGAACATGCACTGAGAACTACTGGGTCATGTGTCGGAACTGGTGTTGCAAGGTGAACCACAGTTCAGTGAGGGAGACCTGCAGGCCAGCCAGCAGCCACATGCGGATGGGCACATCCAGGGGCTGTGGACGCACCTCAGAGGCAGCTATCAGCCTGGCGGGAGCTTCCTGGGAGACAGGAGACAGCTGGGAGTGGAGGGCTTCCTGGAACAGGAGCACTAGACTTAAAGCCAGCCATTACTGAGCTGTGGCAGGGCACAGTCATGTCAGCAGGGGGCTGCAAGTGTCAAGCAGCAGGGAGTGAACTGGGAGTTGAAAGTACCTCCTCATGTTTGGTGTGTGTGAGATTTGAAAGATGTGCAAGAGAGGAAATTGGAATGGTGAACAGGTGCTGTATCATTAAGGAGATCAGGTTAGCAATACAGTTAGAGCTTGAGTGTTATTAGAGTTTGGACTTTTTTTTTGAAGCTCACAGAGAAAGAAAGATTGTTTGTTAAAGCACAGAAAGGAGACACAAAGGGTCGAGACTAGGTGGATGGGAAGAGTCAGGCCTGAGTGCCAGGTCTCTGGCTTGGACAGTGGGTGAGTTACAGTGTCATTCACTCAGGTCAGAGATCCAAGAAGCCAGTTGGGGTTGGTAGGCAAAGTGATGTTTGGCTTTGGACATCGAGGGGTTGAGCGAGTGACACACTCTGGGGAGTAGTAGGAGGAAAACCTGGCTAGAGACGTGCGTTTGGGAGTTCCTATGTGTAAAGCAGGCTCGGACTTGGGGCACAGGACAGCGCTGAGCTATTTTCTGTAAGTCTGTTACCCTGCATGACCCAGTTCTGCCAAAGCAGTAGCCCCAGCCCCTTCACGGTCAGATGGTGACGTCATGTTCTTCTAGGCTGTCTCAGGATTGGGTGCCCCCAGGTCTCCTTCTAGAATTCTTCACAAGTTCTGGCTAATGTCAAACTTCACACCCTGTCTCAGGAAGGAGTCCCAAGGGTTAGCTTTATGGATACGAGAGGCCCGGTGCAGGAATTCGTGCATGGTGGGTCCAGCCAGCCCACTCTGATGGGAACCTAATGGGCCGGCTGGAGGGAGGGGGGCCGATCGGGGCCCAGATCAGGCTGGTTGGCTGCCGCAGTGCATGTCATAGCTACTGGTCATTCTGGTTGTTCTGCTGTTCAGGTTGCTGTGCATATATATATATATATATATATATATATATATGATTAATTTTTTAGCATTAGCACAAATTTGTTGCTTTTTTAAAGGCCATCAAAAAAGTACAATGCAGGTGTCCATAGAAATCTCATTTTATCTCCTAGTTGCAAAATAAATGTATTTGCACAGGAAGCATTTTTCTTTGTATTCAGATTATTTCGGTTCATATTTTGTCCCTCTCATTCACCTACTGAGCCCTCGAGCTCCAGTTGAAGTCAGAATGGCACTGGCCTGGCAGGAGGTTGCTTGGTGCAGAGTTCTCTACCTTGTGACCCGATTTCTGCAGAGCCCGCTCTGCCCCGGCTCTGGGGCCTTGGGAAGGACAGCTGGTTCCCACCCCTCTGGGCAGCTCACTCTGGGTCAGGTGCTCCCTCCTGTGCTCCTCTGTCCCGCCCAACTTCAGTCTTCTCCCTCCTTCCAGAAGCAGTGCTGGTTTAGTTCCCTCGGCGTGCACAGTCGTCCAAGTGCCAGATGCTGAGGGCCAGACAGAGTGTCGAGAGGGCAGGCTGTGCGCTGGTCCCGGCAGGACCGTCTCCTGTGGAACCGACTGTGGTTAAGTCTTTCTCTTCTTCCTGCTCTCCTCCTCCTCAGAACTGCTTGTGCAGTCAGTTCCTTGTAGAATATCGGGGTCACTGCACTGCCCCTGAGAGCATTGGGGTGCACATGCCCACCCGGGCCTGACGTGGCGGCTGGCCCCTGGGGAGCGCGCTTACCGGTCACCTGCTTCAGGGGCACCTGGGGGGCTGCTGGCGAAAGGCCCAGACTCCAGCCCTGGACTGTGCCCGGGGTGGGCCAGGCGCCCCGTTCTCAGGAGTGTTGTGCACGCAGGATGTGAGAACCGCTGCCCGGGTCGGCAGTCGAGGGGAAGGGGGGGGCGTTGAGGCTGGGCTCTGCCACTTTCTGTCAGGTGCCTGGCACCCACACTTCCGGCTGCGTCTCTGCGTCTCAGTTTGTAAAGTGGGAAGAACACCTACCTCACAGGGCTGGCGCGGAAACTGAATGAGGGAATGAAAGTGGGAGTCCTTTAACACGTGATCATTTGAGGCTCGCTCTCTGGGGTGGGCAGGCAGAGCGGCAGAGGGGAAGGTAATCCTGCTTCACCTCGGAATGAGGGCGGTGCGCTGCCTGAGGTACTGGGGGAAGGATGCCGGGTTGCTAACAGGGTGCTATTAGTGACACTGTGAAGTCTATTTCTAGATGCGAAACTAGGGGGTGTTTGTCCTTCTTTTATAAGACACCGTGCTAAAACACAGAGCTTCACATGGCTCACCTTAACCGCTTTTAAAGGCACGGCTGTAGTGTTAAGTACCCTCCCATGGTGACTAGGTCTCAACGATTCCTCCTGCAGCTCTGAAAGGCTGCACCGGGGAACAGCGCCCTGCCCCCGGCCCAGCTCCGGCAGCCCCGCTCCGCCGCCTGCTCCCCGGGTCTGGCTTCTCTGCCAGCCTCCCAAGTGGGATCGGCAGAGTTTGCCTTGTGACTGGCCGATTGTCCTTTGCATCGCGTCCTCAGGGCTCGTCCGTGTTGAGGCACGGAACAGGAATTCCTTCCTTTTAGAGCTGAGTAATGTTCCATTGTTGGCGAGACCACCTTTTGTTTACCATCCATCATCCCTGGGTGGACATTCGCTTTGCTTTGCCTCTTGGCCGTTGTGACGGATGCTACCAAGAACATGGGGATAGTCTTTGAGGCCCTGCTCTCAGTTCTGTTGGATACAGACCCGGAAGTGAGATCTCTGCGTCCTTCTTCTTTTTAAAACACCTGTGATCCGTCCCAGTGCTTTTAGAGCAGCAGGGATTATTTCTTGCCCACGGGAGCACACTCATTCATTTGTGGAAACAGTGTTTTGTTTTTCTAAACTCACCAGGTTGAAATGTTGAAGCAACGTGCTATTTAGATTGGAGATTAGCCAGACCAGCACGCCTGAAGCTCAGGACAGTTTTACACGGGGGCTCTGCCGAGCGCTGGGCCAGTAAGTCTTCGGTCCTCAGTCAGAAACCTTGAACCAGCTTCTCACCATTAATCACCAAGTTCCTGACATCCATTGAAGGATGGGTTGAGTGTCGCCCTTAAGCACAGCTTCCAAACTGCCAGCGTTTGTGTGTGTTCTGAATACAAGTCTTAGTTCCAGGCAGAGTTCTAAGTACTTGCATAAGACTCTACAGGTAACCACTGAGCAGCACTGGCCAGGGCAGGCATTCTTTTACTGTGATAAACTACATAGCCAAAGTCCTCGAGTCACCTCTCCCCATCTTCAAATGCTCTGCTAATGTCTAGGCTCCATTCTAAGCTGGTCACCAGCTCAACCGTGATAGTCACTTAGGCAAAGGTCATTGTTAGTGGCAGTAAAGGTACATTTATTTTCCCACTAGTATTCTTGATAATTTGGAATATTTTTTAGTTACTTCTCATCAAATCAAACTAGACTATCATAGTTTTACCTTGTAACATGGCTGACAACACTCATAGAGGAGAATTCAAGCTCACTTCCACTTACAGTATTAGTAGACTCTTCAAGGTTACTTCATAGGAACCTTTTAAAATAATATTTTTATTGGTTTCAGAGAGGAAAGGAGAGGTGGGGGGGAGAGAGAGAGAGACATCAATGATGAAAGAATCATTGATCGGCTGCCTCCTGCACGCCCCCCACTGGAGATCAAGCCCAAAAGCCGGGCATGTGCCCTGACTGGGAATTGAACTGTGACCTCCTGGTTCACAAGTTGATGCTCAACCACTGAGATTGTTAGAAACATCGATGAGAGAGTCATTGATCAGCTGCCTCTTGCAC